TCATCATCATCATCATCACCATCATCATCATCATCATCCTCATCATCATCATCATCATCATCATCATCATTATTATCATCGTCACTGACAAAACAATTCCTCTTTTTCTTGTTGTGTTTTTCTTTCTTTCTTTCTTTTTTTTTTAAACATAAAAATTTGCACCATGCAAATACATTTTTAAGTAACCGACAAGTATCGGCACCAAAATCAGGATACTGGCCAAAAAAAAAAAGATATAGGTGAGGCAAGGTACGGAGAGATGAGATAAGGTGAAATCAGACGAAGTAAGATGAGATACTATGAGAAAGATGAGCTGCGATAAGATGAGGTATATTCATGGAAACCTTTTTAAAACGAATACCTGTCATAATGGCATCTCCCTGACCCCCCCCCCCCTGATAAATTTACCTATAATTACCTCTATAAAACGGAAACCGGTCTAACTCGGAAACGAAAGAGAAATTCCTCCCCTTCGGATGATTTTTACTTGTCCAAGGCGGAAAATGCTTTGCCTACTCAGCCCTAATTTGAAACAAAACTGTCAAGTTCCATCCGCTCTAATGACCGTACAACTATATAACCTTCATGATCAGCTCTAACTTTTTCGCCTCGCTGCCAAGCGAGGAACGGGAGTAGAGGTGCAATGTAGGGGTAGATTTTAACCTGAGATAGCCTAGGTGTTACTCCATCTATGTGACCTCGCGCCCATAGCGTGCAGATGGTCAGAACGGTTTATGTATGAAATCTCACCATTGACAGTGAAAGTTCTCGCGTGGAGCTCCAACACGGGAACTTTCATGGGTAGCCAGAAGTCAGGGGTATGAAATTAAATTCGTTTGACCAATGCCTGCCGCTCTGTTGTACGTCCACTCGAGAAAAGAGTTCTTCGATCGTTGTTAAATGGACGGGAAGGGTGGCATTGGTTGACTGTGCTTATTTCATTTATGGGTGGGGCTAAGGGTGGAAGCAGAGTAGATGTTCAAACGTTTCTGTTTTTAATAGGTCAAACAGTGGTCCTTGGCGCTCATATGACCGTATGCAATTGCGAGCGCCGTAAAACCCTCTACTGTAAAAAAAAACCCAGTGGTCCGATGAAATGCCAGGTCTGATGGTAATTGATAAGTAGGACTGACGCATGCCATTATCAGAGAGACTGATAGAACTTAAGAGGTGTGAAGTTGTGGCCACTGCTTGTCGACCGAACAAGTGACTTTTGATCCCGCCGGCAGGGCCTCTGAGACACCCTCTATCGACCCCTAAATTCCTCTGCCTAAGACGGAAAATGACAAAAACGGAATATTCTTTTTCTGACTCCTTGGTGGTTCCGTCTTAAACAGGTTCGACTGTACTTTTGGGTGGTTGGGGATGCTCAGGTGTGGTTTGCTTCTTCTGTCTCATCAAATATCTATCATCCTTATCCCTCCTCGTTTTTTCTACGCATGTTAATCTCCAATCTTTCGCATTTAAAAGACTTATTAGAGTTGTAAGCGCCGTAAACTTATAATTGAAAAAGAGGTATACTTCTCTGATCCTTCAAAGGAAAATAAAAATACCAGTGGGCTTTCTCTACATTCTGGGACGCAAATTATACATACATGAGAATATATCATCTCACTGTCTCTGTCTCTCTTAGTCTCTCTTATCTTCTCTCTCTCTCTCTCTCTCTCTCTCTCTCTCTCTCTCTCTCTCTCTCTCTTTCTTTGTCCTTAATTCCATTATGATACATCTGGTGATTGGCCAGCTTTGACACTTGTAGTTTAAAACTGGGGCAAGCAATTGATTTAAAAAAAAAATAATTAAGTTATATCGGCAGTTTTTGATACGTAAATTTCGTATATCTTCGAAAGCAACGGTGTCCTTCAGGTATCCTTCTGCCCACCTTATTTAAAGAGTGGGAATGGGTGTTCGGGGGGGAGGGGGGCGGCAGTGATAAAGAAGAGTTCCCAATCATACCATTTTATATATTTATAGAGAGGGCGTGTAAGGTGAAAATTGACTTTTTGGTGTA